GGGATGCAGGGAGCAGGCAAGGAGCGCAGGGAGCAGTCTGGGGTGCAGATTCCCCAGAACAATGGCCTATTCCCCGCCTTGGTGCCCAGGGTGGTGCTGTCAGCCTGGGGCTGTTGGTGTGTGACCTATTCAAACCATTGTCTCTTCCTCCCTCCCAGTGGGCTCCAGCTGCAGGTGGAAAGGGCAGGAGTGAAACACATTTAACTGTGGAAATTGTAAAAAACACCAGGAGAAGATAGAGAAGAAAGGAGAGAGAGACTGAAGGAGTGAGGAAGGCTCTGTGCCACGAGGGAATGGCTGAAGGCCTTGGATGGACACCATCTGCAGTTGGGCTGGTGGCGCCACTGGTAAAATGAGCCTGTGACCACCATGACCACCCTCCATCCCCACCATGCACCATCAGCCCAAGGCAATGCCACTCCATCCCCGTCTCTGTCCCATGTCCAGCAAGAAAACCAGATAAAAAACTTTTATTTTGTTCTTTTCTGGTTCATGGAGTCAGGGCAGGTGCAGGGCAGGGTGAAAGTGTTGCCTGCATCCCCTATATCACCCCTGGCACTGCCCTGGCATTACCAATTCCTTCCAGCCCTGGCATCCTGGTTGTCACTGGCATGGGGACACCAAGGCTCCAGTACTCACCCTCAACCACAAGCTCACTCAGAATGGCAGTGCCAGGTGCTGTTCCCAGTGCCAGGATGTGCCGGGGATGGGGGCAGCCCAGTGTGTGCTGGGGGGTCAGGGAGCTCTGCTGAGTTGGCTTTGGCTCACGTGTGCCAGGCACCTGCCTCTGCCAGCTTCATCTTCTGCAGGCTGTCCCACACCTGCAGGAACTTGGGATGAGGGTCTGGCTCTGGCCCAGCCACCTCCCATTCATGCTGCAGGAGAGGCAGCCATGAGGCCTGGTTGGGATTCCCCCAGCCCTCCCCATGACCTGGTTGTCTCCTGACACGGGTGTTGCCTCAGCTGTTACCATGACCTGGTCACTGCTGGCCATCCCTTGACCTGTGTCCACGCCATCCAGCTTCCTTTAGCCACTCCTCAAGTTACCTGAACATTACTCAGCCAAACTGCCCCAACAGCCTGATCAGCACTTGGCCTTCCCCAGGGAAGGACGTGGATAGGTAGCTGGATGGACATGTGGAGGGTGGGTGGGTGGGTGGGTGGGTGGGTGGGTGTGTGGATGGATGGATGGATGGATGGATGGATGGATTCATGCTTGTATGTATGGATACATGGGTGGATGAATGGATGGAAGACAGTGAGGTGAAGGCAGGAGAGCTGGCCTGGATGCAGGGATGGAGGCTGGGACAGGCAGACAAGGACAAAGGGACATCACAGACCTCCTCAAGTCTCTGGTGGCACTTCCTCAGCTGCTGCTCCAGCTCAGATGGGGGTCCCTGCAGCTCCTCTTCTCCAGCACCCTTAGAAGCTCAGCCCTGTGCTGGGGCAGGATCCCCCTGTGGTGATGGACATGCTTCAACTGGCCGCCACACCCGGACGCCCAGCTGGAGACAGGCCCATTCCCATGCTCACCTCGTGGGGCTGAAGAGTAGCTCCTAGTGCAGGTCCTGGTAGCTACGGGACTCCCACATCAGGGTTGGCACCTTCTTAGGCTGAATAATGCTCCTGTGGCCATCAGGGGCCAGGTCCAGGGCGAGAACATCACTCCTGTCACCTTCTGGAGAGGTAGTGGACCAGCAGGGGACGGGAGCACCAGGGGATGAGTCACCAGAAGCATGGAGTCACCAGTGGAAAAGCATCATCGGAGATGTGGTCACCACAAGGGATGGGACAACCTGGGACAGAGTCACCAGGGGATGGGGAGAAGCCAGTACAGGTTGAGATCCTGGACACCAGCCCCTGTGTCCCGCAGCCCCCCTGTGGTCTTGTGGTGACACAGCCCAGAGTCTTCACATGCTGTTCCCAGCAGCCTCTGTGTCCCTGTCCCAGGCCACCCTGTGTTCCTAGGCTATCTCATATCTTCCCATCACTCCTTAGGGTCCTCATTATTCCTGGAGTGTCCACCACCCATCAAGTGCCCATCACCTCTCAGGTCCCCATTGTCCCCTGGGGTCCTCATTGTTCCTGGGGTCCCCATCACCCCAGGGGTGTTCACTATCCCTCAAGGTCCTCATTACTTCTTGGGGGTCCTGTCACCTTCAGGGTCACGATTGTCCCAGGGATCTCCCTCACTCCAAGGTCCCCATCACCCCTGGTGTCCTGTTGTCCCTGTGTCCCCTTCACCCTTGGGGCTCCCAACACCACTGAGGTCCCCATCAGTCCAGGTGTCAGCACTGTACTGTGTGCCCTCATAACCTTCTGTCGCTGCAGGTCCCAGCTGGGTAATAATTAGCATTGAGTCCATGATTGCAGAAGGCTGATCAATTGCTTTATTATCTCATCCTATACTATATTATACTATACCTATTAAGAAACTCAGTAACCCTTCCAGCCAATCCGATCCAGCTTTGACCTAATTGGTCAATCCATCCAAACACCATCCAGTGTCCAATTAAAAAATCACAAATCTCCATGACACATTTCACATATGCACAACAGCAGGTGCAACAAGTGGAGACAAGAATTGTTTCTCATTGTTTTCTCTGATCTTCTCACAGCCTTCCCCAGGAAAATGCCTGGGAAAGTCTGTGCCTGCTCTCTGTGGCCAGAGGGCTGCTGCCACAACCTTCAAGTTCTCACTGTCTCTGGGATCCCCATCACCCCCACGGTGTCAATCATTCCTCAGGGTCCTCATTACTCCTTGGAGCCTCTATCGCCTTCAGCATCCCCACTGTCCCTGTGTTCCCCATTGCTCCTGAGGGCCCCAGGTTCACATCACTCTTCAGATTCCACCACGCTGTGGTCCCCATAACATCCAGTTTCTCACTGTCCCTGTGTCTCCATCACCCCTGGCATCCCCATTGTCCTTGGCGTACCCATCACGCCCCATCCCCATTCCCTTGGGTCCCACAGTCCCATGCCCTAGTGCCAGCACCCCCCCTGCCCCAACACTGTGCTGCTCCTCAAAGCTTTGTTATCACCCTGGCAAAGCTGTCACTAGTGGAGACCAAATCAACCCCTGATGTCCCTCCTGCTGGGCGCTGTGGCTGGCCATGGTGGCTGGGTCAAGGAAGCAGGAGGAGAATGGATATTCTCTACGTTAGCTCTGGAACTTAAGGAGGGTGAGGGGTCCTCAGGCTGAACACCAGAGAACAGGCACTGTAGTCTCCTGGAGGCACAGGGAACACTGGAAGCACCAGACTCACTTGGGCTGCACTAGGTTGACTGAGGGCACTGGGAGCACTGGGGACATTGGGAGCACTGGGTGTAGTAGGTGCATGGGGTTTGCTGGGAGCACTGGGACTGCTGGTGTTGAGTGCACTGGGGACCACTGGATTATGGGGGTTACTGTGGGAGCTGAGGGTTGCTGGAGAAACTGGGCTGGGAACTGGATCAACTGAGTGTTACGGGAGATTCAAGGAGTTACTGGGAGCACTGGGGGTCAGTTGGGAGACTTATGGGGGATACTGGGATGGGGATTGGGTGGCACATGATGTTACTGGGAAGGACTGGGATACTGGAGGCACTGGGGTTTATTGGAGTACCTGGGGTTACTGGGGAGGACTGGCAATTACTGGAAGAGCTGAAATGGGGACTGTGTGCTTAGAGAGGGGGTCTTAGGGTTAGACTGGGAGTTACAGGGGAACCTGGGGGTCAGATTGTACTGGGGGGTTACTGGGATGACTGGAACTCACTGAGGGGTGGAATGGAGATTAGTTGCACTTGGGTGGTACTGGGATACTGGGAGGACTGAGGGTTACTGGGGGTACTGGTGGGCAACTGGGTTGCTGCCATGGGGACTGGTTGCACTGGGGAGGTACTGGGAGGACTGGTGCTTACTGGGGGCTGGGATGAGCACTGGGCGCTGGAGGGTTATGGGGAGATTTCGAGTTGTTGGGAAATCCTGAGGTCACTGGGGTCTGGTTGCATTGGGGCGTTACTGGGAGGACTGGGGATTACTGGGAGTACTGGTGGGTTACTGGAAGGACTGGAATGGGGACTAGGTGCACTGTAGGATACTGAGGGGTCACTGGGGCACTGAGATGGGGACTGGCCACACATGGCTGAGCACCCGGGCAGCTCCTGCATTAGCAGCGCTCGGTTTCACTGGGGTTTACTGCGCTTGGGTTTACTGGTGCGCTGGTGGGGACCAGACCATACTGGTGCTGTACCATACTGGTGCTGTGCTGTACCATACTGGTGCTGTACCATACTGGTGCTGTGCTGTACCATACTGGTGCTGTACCATACTGGTGCTGTACTGGACCGTACTGGTGCTGTACCATACTGGTGCTGTACTGGACCATACTGGTGCTGTACCATACTGGTGCTGTACTAGACCATACTGGTGCTGTACCATACTGGTGCTGTACCATACTGGTGCTGTACTGGACCATACTGGTGCTTTACTGGACCATACTGGTGCTGTACCATACTGGTGCTGTACCATACTGGTGCTGTACTGGACCATACTGGTGCTTTACTGGACCATACTGGTGCTGTACCATACTGGTGCTGTACCATACTGGTGCTGTGCTGTACCATACTGGTGCTGTATTGGACCATACTGGTGGTGTACCATACTGGTGGTGTACCATACTGGTGGTGTACCATACTGGTGCTGTACTGGACCATACTGGTGCTGTACCATACTGGTGCTGTACCATACTGGCGCTTTACTGGACCATACTGGTGCTGTACTGGACCATACTGGTGCTGTGCTGTACCATACTGGTGCTGTACTGGACCATACTGGTGCTGGACCATACTGGTGCTGTACCATACTGGCGCTTTACTGGACCATACTGGTGCTGTGCTGTACCATACTGGTGCTGTACCATACTGGTGCTGTGCTGTACCATACTGGTGCTGTACTGGACCATACTGGTGCTGTACCGCACCTCCCCAATAGGCGCTCGATTGAGGCCGCCGGCCCCTCAGGATCCGCATCGGGCGGGTCGGCGCTCGGCTGGCCGCGCCTGTCGCCGCTGCCGCTGTCGCGTTGGCGCCGCGGGCCGCGGGCCGGGAGGCGCCATGACCAACGGTGGGAACGGGGGAACCGGGGGAACCGGGGGTCAGCGGCACCGAGGGGGGCCCGGGGAGAGCCGGGGGGCGCCGTGACCAACGGTGGGAACGGGGGAACCGGGGGTTGTGGGCGGACGGGACGGTCCTGGTGCCACCATGACTGGTGGTGGGAACTGGGGAATGGAGGGGCCGGGGAGTCCGGGCGGGTCCGGGGCCTCAGGACCATGGGGGGGGGGGGGGGGGGGGGTACGGGGGTTTTGGGGGTTCCGAAGGCGGCGGGGCTGATGGGGCACCATGGGGAGAGCACTCCGGTACCGGCAGGCGGCGGGGGAGATCGGGCTGATGTCGGGGAGGTACTAAGAGGAGCTTTGGGGAGGCGAGCGGAGACTGTGTCCCTTTGGGGGCGGGGTACTGGGAGTTCGGAGTGCCTTCGGTGGGGTTGCTGGGAGGTCTGTATACCTTTTCGTGGGGGTCCCGGGAAGTCTGCATCCCCTCACAGGGGCAGAGATGGGAGGTTGTTCACACAGAGTGTGGGGGTCCACTTGGGCGGGGGTTGGGCAGGAGCCCGGAGTGCCCCCTGACCCCTCGCCGACCTCCCTCCCTGCAGTTTACTCCCTGGACGGGCTCCTGGTGTTCGGGCTACTACTGGTTTGCACTTGTGCGTACCTGCGGAAGGTGCCCCGACTGCGCACCTGGCTCCTGTCTGAGCGCAGGGGGGTCTGGGGAGTCTGCCACAAGGGTGAGGAGCACTTGGGACACTGGGGTATGGCACGGGGGTGCTGGGAACACTGGGATGGGGCCACTTGGAACACTGGGGTACAGGATGGGGGTGCTGGGATCACTGGGGTTGGGTCTAGGACAGGGGCATTGGGTCCAGGGTGGGGACAGGGAGAATGGATGAGGGTTTTGGGCTCTGGGATAGGAACAGGGATTGGATATTGGAACAGTGGTGTTTGGGATGGGAACATGGGGTCTGGGATGGGCTCACAGGGATTCAGGATGGATCTGAGATGGGAACATGGGCCTCACCCCATCCTGTCCCATCCGTAGCTGCTGTGATTGGGACCCGCCTGCACGTGGCTGTGTCCGTATCCTGTCTTCTCATGGCCTTCTACATCCTTGTGGGAAAGTGACCACTTGTGGACCTGCTGGTGACCTGAGACCTGGGACCGATTAGAGATCCTGTGACTGATTCCAAAGACCCCAGTATGGACCAGAGACCCTGGTACTAATCGCAGTGTCCCAGTACCAAGCAGAGACCCCATTGCTGACCCTGGAGACCCTGGTACTGATCCTGGAGATCCCAGTACTGACCCCGAACCACTCCCAGTCCTGCCCTTGGCAGCAACCTGGATCCTTCGTGTGGCAACCCAGGGACCATCATGGCCTGTCACCCTCCTTGAGCCCACCAAGGGCAATTGTGGGAGCCAGCAGGGCAACTTTGGACTGGTGGAAAAGGATTTCCCATGAAATCTGTAGAGAAGTGGGTGAAGGGACCCTCAACACTGGGGGACCCAGGTCTGCCCTGTAAGCCCTTTCTCTTGATGCTGAGCAGGGTCCTAGTGAGACCATGGCAGGCTCTGGGGGCCAGGCAGGGTCCCCCCTGATCCGTGGGATCTTCCTATGCCCCTGCAGCATGAGGAGCCTTCAGGGGAGTCTCCTTCTGCAGTGGGGGGTTGGTGACCCCCCTGGTTGTAAATATTGAACCACCACGTGCAAATAAAGTGGGGGTTCCTCTGTGGCAGTGCTGGCCTGGATGTCCTGTGGGGTTGGTGGGGCTCCTGTGGGGCTGGTGCCCTGCTTGTGGGTCCTGTGGCGTGGGTTGGGAGTCCCACTGAGTGTGTGTGAGAAGGTCCTTGGAGGCTGCCTCCCGTGGGGTGGAGGGCTCCCATAGTTATGGGGTCTTGGGGTGGGGAGGATTGGAGGACTTGTGCAAATAAAGTGGTTGTGGGGGGAGGCTATGGGGTGAAGAATTGCTGACTGGAGCTTCCTGGCCCGGTTCGTCCAGCTGTGGGGTCGGGAGCGAGGCGGGAGGGCTGTGCCCGGCCCCGGGTGACCGCGCCCAGTGCCCCGGCGCGGGGCGGGCGTGTGCCCGGGCGGGGCGGTGCCGGGAGGGGCGGGGCGGTGCCGGGAGGGGCGGGGCGGTGCCGGGAGAAGCGGGGCGGGGCGGTGCCGGGAGGGGCGGGGCGGTGCCGGGACGGGCGGGGCGGTGCCGGGCGGGGCGGGGCGGTACCGGGAGGGGCGGGGCGGGGCCGGGCGGGGCGGGGCCGGGAGGGGCGGGGCGGGGCCGGGAGGGGCGGGGCGGTGCCGGGACGGGCGGGGCGGTGCCGGGAGGGGCGGGGCGGTGCCGGGCGGGGCGGGGCGGGGCCGGGACGGGCGGGGCGGGGCCGGGAGGGGCGGGGCCGGGCGGGGCGGGGCGGGGCGGGGCGGCGGGTGCAGTGCGCTCCTCCAGGCGGAGGGGGCGCGCGGGAGCGCTGCCGGCCTTCCCGTCGTGCTCCGCGCATCTGCGGTATATAAAGGGCCGGATCGGAAGTGGCTGTGGCTGTGTGCACGCGTGTCTGTGTGTGTGTGTGCGTGTGTGTCTGTATGTGTGCGTGTGTGTCTGTGTGCGTGTGTGTGTCCGTGTGCGTGTCTGTGTGCGTGTGAGTGTGTGCGCGTGTGGAGCGCGAGTCAGGGGTGTCCGTGTGTGCGGCACCAGCCATCCTCCCCTCCCTACACGTTGATCTTATTCGATCGGCCGGGCCCCGCCGGGCCGAGGTGAGAAGAAAGTGCCGCGAAGCCCTCGGGCGCTGTGCGGTTGGGCCGGGCGGGATGAGTCGATCAGATAGGCGAGGCCACGGCCGCTGAGCGCCCTGCGATTCTGACCCGCGCCCACGGCTGCAGCCCCGGGGCCGGCACCGGCACCGACCTGGGCCCGGCAGCGACGGAAAGCGAAACTCCCCGGCTTCATCCCGGCCCATCCAGCGCCGGGCTGCGTGGAGAGGCGAGAAAGGGGCCCTGCACAAGGCTCCATACGCGCTGTGCAGGGGTCTGTGCTGGCCTGCGGGGCCGTGCACGCTCCGTGCCGTGCTGGGAGTAGTTCACCGGGCCCTACAGCTGTGTGGGGCACAAAGGCTATACACGGGTCTGTGCTGGCACTGTGCCACGTGTGTGAGCTGGGCACGGACCCTGATAGCCCCGGCGGGTACCGGAGACTCTCATTACACCTATGAGCTTCATGCAGCACGGGCTCTGTGTTTTATTGAGGGTGTGTGGTGATGGGGTTTACTATGGTGTTGACAAGAGGATGGCCACAAGGGGACAACCACGGTGAAGACTGGGGGATGGCTATGGTGCTGACAAAGCTGTGATGGTAATCAGAGGACAGCCACTGTGTGTGGAAACGAGTACAGTTGTGCTGGTAATGAGAGGATGGCCACAGTGGTGATAGCAAGAGGATGGCCATGGCTGTGACAAGGGGACAGTAGAGTGGGTGACCAAGAGGTGGCTATAGTGGTGACAAGAGGATGGGCCTGAGAGGACAGACAAAGAGGTAAAAAGGGGACAGCTGTAGTGGTGACAAGGCTGTGGTGGTGATGAGGGCACAGCAGTGATGCTGGCATTACTGGGAGAAGCAGCTGCGTTGGCTGCTGATGGTGGGATGTGGGGACACTGAGAAGAGGTCACCAGCTTAATGGTGCCTGGCAGGCTTCATCTGCCAAGGTGACACTGCAGATGCTGTGCAGATGATGGCCACCCCATGTCACTGTCTCTAGCTGTGGCACAGTGGCACAGTAGGTGTAGGGTTGTCTCCATGCTGCCACAGGGACAGGCATGATCCCTTCCTGTAGCCATGTCCCCCATGCCCATGGTACTTGCTAGCACCTATGTGTCACTAGTATCCCCCAATCCACAGGGTGACCCTGTGCCACCAGAGTTGGGACCTCTGTGTCACTTTAGCAGCTCTGTCCTCCATGTCCCTCGTGTTCCCATGTTGTCTATATCCTTCATGTCCCCCCCACGTCCCCCATCTCCCTGTGTCACCATATTAGCTGAGTACCTTATCCCTCTGTAGCCCCTTATCGGCTGTGTTCCTATGTCTCTCCCTTCGTCCCTCATGTTCAGATATCCTCTCTATCACCTGTCCCTCTGTGTCCCCCATTCTCCCATATCCCCTGTATTCCCCTTGTCCTGTGTCCCTGTATCAGCTCTGTACCCAGTGTCCTTGATGTTCCCGTGTCCCCCGTGTTCCCATATCCCCTGTACCCCCTATGTCCCCTGTGTCCTCCATGTCCAGAATAAAAAGCCACATGTGTCCCCTGTCCTGTCCCCAGTGCAGTGGGGCTGGCCCCGGCTTCATGAGGACAAGGCCTGAGGGGCACACGGGTGGCACACAGTCTCCGGTGGGGTGGAGGTGGCTCCGGGCTGCCGGGGCTCCTGACCCCCACTCGCTGTGTCCCAGTCCTCCCCCTGTCCCGGGGCGACCGGGAGGAGGGGCTGTTCCCGGGGGAGGGGAGGTGGGGGCATGATGCCCCAGGACGGTCCCCGGTGCTGTTCTGGAATAACATTCCCAAATCTGTTCCCAGGGGTGAGTTCCCGATGCCGTTCCCGGGAACACGTTCTGGGGATTACATTCCCAGTCTCGTTTCCGGGGGTACACTTCCAAGGATGACGGGGTTCCCAGTGGCATTCTCATGGATAACACTCCCAGTGCCGATGCCCGGCGCCAATCCCAGGATACCATTCCGAGTACAGCCTCGGGCGTGCTGTTCCTGGGAGTTCCATTCCGAATCTCTCTATTCCGATACCGATGCGCGGTGCCATTCCCATGAATAACATTCTCGGTGCCAATTCCCGGTGCCGTTCTTATGGCAAGCGATGCCAGCTGCCGTTCCAGTGGGTTCTATTTGCGATCCTCTGCCTGTTCCCGTTCCCGGGGCGATGCCCCGTGCCATTACCAGGGCTCCCGTTCGCGGTGCCCGTTCTCAGAGGTGATGCCCGGTGCGGTTGCCGGGGGTTCCTCTCCCGGTGCCTATTCTCGTTCCCGGGGGCGGGGGCAGGTAGCGGCAGGTGCGCGGGGGCCGGGCCGTTGGTGGGGGCGGGGCAGCGGCGCCGGTGCTCGCACCGGCCGAGCTGCCGCCGTTGCCGCCGCCATGGCCGGTACCGGAGCCCGGTGGATGCCGCTGGCGCTGTGTCTGGCTGTCACCGTGTCACCGGGATGCACCGGAGAGCAGCTACACGTCTGCAAGGAGGTACCGGCACCGGGAATGGCGGGGGGCGGGGGTGGGCAACCGGTAGCACACCACCACCGCTGCAACGCCCCCCCCCCAAATTCCCCCACACACCGATGAAACGGAGTCCCGGAGCACGGGGAGGCCACTCCCTATGGGATGGGGAGGACAAGGAGGAGGCAGGTAGGGGTCGGGCGTCCCGGTGGCATTGGGGATGGGGTGTCTCCTATAGCGGGAGGGACTGGCCGACCTCCTGGGGGCCAGGGAGCGGTCTTTGCTTCCAGGGGCTCGGCCAGTCCTCCAGGGTCTCCTTGGGGACCCCAAATGGTGTCACCCCATCATTGTCCCTAAGTCCCTACCCCTCAGACACATTGGGGTCTCCCTGACTGCTGCTGGGGGGGTGACAAGGAGCGAGGGGGACAATCCCAATGGTCACGTGTCATTCCCAGCTCAGCACATGGTGTCTTGTGAAGAAAAACTGTCACTCACCAAGATCTGTCCACTTTGGGGACAGCGGGTGAACCCCCAAATGCTCTCCCTGGATTGTCCATCTTGCCCCACCCCCCGAATTTTCCTCCCCCCTCCTCAGACCTGCAGCTGCTTTTAATCTGGACCAGGATTTTTATTTTTTTTTCTCTGATCCAAATATTCTTGTCTGTGTTCCACAATCCAGAGCTGGAAACAATAGACTGGGGCTGGCACCTGCCCCAGGAGTGATCAGTTCCCCAGACGGGCTGTCCCCTGTGCTTCACAAGGGACAGCCCTTCTCCCTCCCCTGGCCAGAGCACAGTTACAGTGGCAGTTTGGGGTGCCTCCACCCCCCAAAACCACCCGGGAGCTGAATTAGGTCAATTTATGTAGATTTAATAAAAACCTGGAAAAGTTTACGAAAAGAGAAATATACCCTCTCTCTAAGGAAATCCCTTGGGACTGAGAGAAATGTAGTAGTTTGGGGCTGCTGAAAGTTGGGGTGACCCGCTGGGTACCCCCAGGGTGGTGGAGACCTTTCTGTGTGTCCCGATCCCAGGGCCAGGGGGGATTCCATGCTGCCTGAATATGGGCAGGGGGTGCTGCAGGCATCTGTCTATCCTCACTTTTCCTTCTCCATCCCCCTTTTACTTCTCTAATCCCTCTTTCCTTCTCACACCCCCCATCCCCCTCTTTCCCTCCCCCATTGCTGTGTTTCCAGTTGATGGGAACATCAAAGCAGTTGTTTTCTCATCAACCTGCCACGCTCCAGCAGCCGCTGGGAGCATGAAGCCACAGCACCAGCTCCGACACCTCAGAGCTGCTGCGGGGGGTGGGGAGCCCCCCTTGTACCCCAACACCACTACCAGATGTGGCCTTCACCCTGCCCACACCATTTGTCCCTGGCGTCGCCAGCCTTAAGCCAGTCTCAGCTTGGTGCAGCTGGCACGGGGGGGGGGGGGGGGGGTCATGGTGTTTCTGCTGTCCCCAGCACTTCCTGGTTCCCCCTAGTCCCCTCTGCGCTCCCACCCTGTGCCCGGGGTGCTCCCAGGGTGCATCTGGGTTG